CAAATTCAATTTCAAATATCTCAAGTTGGCAATGTCAAATTTTAAATCTCATCAGTACAAACGTGTTTTAAAACTTCTACTTTATGTCTGTAGTCAGGTTTTTATGCATAGCCCATCCAATTGTTGCAAATGAATTTTTTCACTAGTTTTTTGTTTGATTTGCTGTACGTTTAAGAAAAGCACGCCGTAACATGGAAACACCCATACAATCCGTTGCAGGCTACCTAGAGCAAGCCCTGTGATTGATCAGATTGTCCAAGATTTGTGATGTAACAGGTCATCCAAACTATGGTAATACTCCAGTCTGATAGTTATCGTTTTGGAACAATTCTTCCAGGCAAGCTGTCATGTTGAAGAAAACAAGGAAGAGGGCATTTTCCAATGATATTTCTAAAGAGGCATCTTTAAAAATTGCCGTTAGTTCATTTTAAATTCTGAGGGCACCAGTGGCATAGCTAGGATTGTACTGGGGGCACTAGCATCATATGGGGGGCACCAGCTTTCAGATGTGTGTTTTCTGGTGTGCGTTTTTAATTTCACTTTTTTTTAATGTTACAAACATTCCGAAAAGCAACAGCAGGTATTGGAATGGTCTAGACAGTCTGATCAAGACGGTGAACTCAGGAAGGATGGTTGGGTTTGTCCAAAGGCTTCATTCCTCACTGGCTATGAATAGATCCACACACTATCATCAATTTCATCCTCTGAGTATCTCAGAAAAAAGCTGGGATCAATCCTATATGATGGGTGTGGGGAATACCTGTACACTTGGTTATATGATGAGGGGAAGCAATCAATCTTCAAGCAAGGCAACCTGTACATCAATGGAGTGAAATAAGTCCCTCCTCATGAACAATCCGTGATGTGGCTTGGTTTCTCTTTCTTAATCGTGAAATGGTCAGGTGGTGATGATTGCTTACATATGCAGTGGAGTAGTCTTTTCTTCCCTGACTAGGACTATATAATCAGTTATTTAGTTGTTTGCTTATCTTTGTTAGTACATGTGTTTGGTTTTCTTTAATTGTTTACTTTGCTATTGTATGTATTATTAAGGGAATAAATATGTGTTTTGCCAGTCTTTAACAACCATTTAATAAGACCAGCTCAGGAGAATGGACGCTGCGGCCCGGGCATTATCAGCATTCATTCTCCTGAGCAAGGTCTTAAACTTTAGTTTAGTACTGACCAAGCACACAGTCATTCCCTTTTCGTAAATACATTTTTATTCAGAGAGTCAAAAGAAGTCAACATACGATGGATTTTTCACGATTTTGTTCTAAAACTGTACTTTCATTTTTCCGAACACCCCGTCCATTTTATGGTATATTCCTTTTGAAAGTTGTCCAATAGAATCCCCTTCATTGAACTTGGCGTGCTCATGGTGTGTCATGTGCACGCGGACTCCTGACCAATCAGACCCGATTAAAGTGTCTTGTATCCATGTGTGAGCGCATGATTTATGCAGCGGGCATTATCACTTCACAGTAGGCATTATCAAATGTTAATACACCGTCACGTGATGCATTTCGACCAACAGATCTAGAAAAACTATCCCAGGTATTTATGAATTTGTGTCGTTACTCTGTACATCGCTATCACGATATGCCTGTTAAGTTTCTGTGTGTCTCTTGCAATTCTTTGTGATATTTGTTAATACTTGGACTCACTTAAAATGCACATCTCTCACTACTCAGGAGTATAATAAACTATTAATCATCAAACTTGGTTCTGCTATGCATGCCTTCAAATGTTGCCCATTTAATTCATCAGACAATGCAAATTTCCATGATATAATTTGTGATTCCGCAAGTAAGCCTACTGCCAAAGCATCCTCTGAGTCTGACATGCCTTTATTAAGAAATACCAGAACCCAGAATCTGATGCCCAATCTGATGCCCATCACTGTTACTACTCCACCAAGAATGACGTGTAGTTTCCTTTTTAACAATGACGACAGCCAGGAACTAAAATGCTGCATCACAATATAAGGAGTCTCCCCAATTTTTGATAATTTTAAAATGGTAAGTAATATTTCAGTTACTGGTCTGAGACATGGCTTAAAGATGATACATCAATGCTCTCTATTTCTAGGTTCAAACTGATTCGAAAAATAAAACAGAGGTGGTGGTGCTGCCCTTTTTGTGCAAAATGATATTAAAATTACATAAGCCATGTCTGAATTATTCTAATATCTCAATGTAATCACTTTTTATTGAGCTAAGGCAAAAAATCTTATATATTTGTTTTTAATAACACTACTTGTATATGGTAGATGAATGTCGATAGAAGTATTACTTCATATGCACAAAGACCATTGAATCTTTATACCTCATAACACTACATACGCAAGCAGTTTAAAACGCTATTTAAATGATAGCTGAATGTGTATAAAAGCTTTATAAAAAATTCTGAACATAACATTCAACTACTTTGCTCTGAAGAGCCTGGTGAAGTCATGTATAAACTATACTAAACTATAAACTAAATACCAGTAATTAATGGCCAAGGTGTTGTACCGAACACTATTCAGAATAACTGTCAAGGGGTAGAGACCACTGATATCACAAGGGATTACTTACAAGAGCACACATACTTGTTCCAAAGTTGTAGGAACCACATGTTGAATCAGAGACATTATGGGGACCCAGAAGGTTAATGGGACAAATTGTCCACGTGACTGGGCCCCCCTAACAAAGGAACCATTTTCATAATTTGCACGGTGAAGACCTGAGCACAGTGATCCTGTCCCCAGGGCTCAATTTCATGGTGCTGCCTAGCAGTTAGCAGAAAATTCATGCTTTATACCATTAAATGTTACTGATTTCATAGCAGTGCTTGGCGTGGTCATGCAAACAACAGCACATGCATAGATTTCCATTGGTACATCTCTAAGTTAAGCAAATATCCCTAGGTAAGCTTGTCTTTTGCTTTGCTTAGTGCTTATGGTGGATTACCCTATGCAAATTAATTGTGTGCACATGATAAACAACTCTATCAAATATCACCTGCAGTCCATTAATGCTCTCGATGCTTGCAATAGCTGGTATTAGATCTTCGCTAATTACCTTGCTCAATAAATCCAAGACTCATCAAGTCATCCACATCACTTCACGCAACCAAAGGAATGAGGAGTTGCTTCCTCCTGTACACTAAAGTCCTGTAGAGGTCAAACCCTGTAGTCAAGCACGTAATTCAGGAGTTGTCTATGATGATCACATGCTATGACGTCTCACATTAACAACTTGTGTCGCGTTGCATTTCATTCTCTCTGGACCATTAGCCAGTTGAGGAGGTTCCTAGACAGGGCCACGACTGAACGTTGCGTACACGCATTCATTTCATCTTGACTTGACTGCTGTAATGCCTTGCTATATGGTTGCCAGAATGAAGTAAGCAAGCTTCACTGTATTCAGAATACAGCCTGCATAGAACTTGATGGGGCTAAAAAGTCTGAGAGTACTAAAAAATTCGATGTCAACTTCACTGGCTCCCCATTTGGAAACGTATGCTTTTCAAGATTCATCTTGGTCTTCAAATCCTTGAATGGATCAGGCCCAGAGTACATTAATGACCTCCCGACCCCTTATGTTCACTCTTGCTCCTTGTACTCAAACTCCCTCTCAGGCTGCTGCAACATCCTCGAGAAGTACAACTAGGAGGAAGTAGGGTAGGACTGCTTCTACTTACAGTGACAGATCATTCTCTGTTGCTGCACCAGTTGATTGACTGAACAAGCTCCCTCTCTACATAAGACATGCCCCTACTGTCAGTTGTTTTAAAACTCATCTGACGACCTATCTCTTTAATTTATAACGTTCCTTTGTTTTAGTTTAATTTTAACTATAATTTTTATGTTATGATCATTACATTTATTGGGAAGTATAACTGGGGGCTCTGTTTGTCTTGGAGAGTGGGATGTCAGTGATTGAACAGACACTCAGCACCATCATCCCCTCATCACCCAGAGTTTAGCCGACCTGTGAAGATACCTAAGGGGCCCGAGCCCTTAAACTGCTGGGAAATGGCTAGCCTCACGGGACCTTGTAAACAGGGTGCAGTTTGTCTGGGGAGATCCCCCATGCCTGGCCTTCTTTCCTCAGATAGACTGTGTCCCTGCAACATAGCTCCTATGCGGTATACTAATATACAGGGTGTCCACATAAAATGTATACAAAGATAAAAATTACTGTAATAGCAAAACTACTTTATAAATATGGGAAAGAGAAATATATCTCTAGAAGGGGCAGAATGCCCCCTTTGCAATGATGGTATACAGCTTGTGATATTATTGACACAGATGAGTGAACAAACTAGACCGATGTTAAGGTACTGAAATCGGCACTGTGACAAGTTTGCATGTGTGATTAACAAGGCTAGACCATGCAAGTGTGCAGAATACCAAATGCCTTTGCTTTGAAAAGTATGAGAAGTTGCATATTGATAACAAAAGGCAGCATGTGGAGTGAAGGCGATTTCTTTTTATGGCGGTACCTGCAGAGCCAAATTTTCGCTACACCCTAATGTTCAGCTAATGTTCAGGAGTTAATGTGCAAGAACAGTGGAAAAAGTCAATGGTCTCCGTCAAGACCTTGAAATGATCAGACGAGCAGTAAGGGACATGTTACGAAGATGTCAGATGTGCATTGACAGGAATGGTGGCCATATGGAGGACTTAGCACATTAAACTGATGTAGTAAGTAGCGAAAACAAAGTAGATAAGATTGATTTAGGTACATTCCTTGTTTTGAAGAATGCGTTCTTAAAGCAAAGGCATTTGGTATTCTCCACACTTGCATGGTCTAGCCTTGTTAATCACACATGCAAACTTGTCAGAGTGCCGATTTCAGTACCTTAACATCGGTCTAGTTTGTTCACTCATCTGTGTCAATAATATCACAAGCTGTATACCATCATTGCAAAGGGGGCATTCTGCCCCTTCTAGAGATATGTTTCACTTTCCCATGAAGTAATTTTGCTATTACATTAGTTTTTATCTTGGTATACTTTTTTATGTGGACACCCTGTATGTACATCAAACTATTATTGTATTACTCATTTCTAATTGTCGTTTATTTTTGTCTTGCCAGAAAAGTCAATGTAAATCGCCCTAAGGCTAATTTAACGCCAGGCGTTAGCCCAATCCATTTCATTAGTATTATTTTTTTATTGGTCAATCAGTTATGCTACCCTTTAAGACAGATTTCATAGTTAAAAAGGTATCTAAAAGAAGCAAACTCTTGAAGAGAAGGGAAAGTGTCTGTGTGTGAAAACAGTCAACATAAAAGAAAATAACTCCTGACTGCATTAACAAAATTCATGATGCTCAGCTTACAACTGGAGGGGCATTGTCCACCATGACAGCAAAGTTGGTGAGATGGTTACAGGAACAGTTGATGTGGGTGGTGTTGAAGGAGTCCACAGAGCAACCCTTGGTGGACCAGCCACCCACCCCATCAAACCTGCCACATAGGAAGACAGCAAACACATGTTAGAATATGTTGGAACAGCTTGAAGACATTCAACATAAAGGCAGAAAATCTTTACCAATGGACTTATGCAACATACACTTACCTGGTGTAGTACGGTGAGTTACATTGCCACGTCCCAAAAATAAAGTTGCACACAAGATTCGAAAAATTGTGATAACAAATTCAATTTAGCATCTCCGAGCCCTCTTCACCAGGCATGGGGTCTGTTTATTTCACTTGGATCCGGATCATGATCAGTGATCTGACATCGGTTCACTGACACCAGAACACGCCTAAAGGATAGCTCGAACCAGCTTGGGGATCATTGATTGAAATCCAGATCCATGCAGATGAATGCAGAGAAAATGGCCTATCTGAAAATATTGATTTGATTATAACCACTAAGATAACATCATCTATGATTTAATTTGAAAATGCAAACAAAACATCACAAACTCCTTTGTTATCCTCACATGGCAATAAGTCTACTGGGTGCCAATACTTAATGCAATGTACATGTAATTCATGGTAGCCAACAGCTGCATCTGGGTTTAATCTTTGGTTACGCAGTCAAAAAATTCCCAATCAGGCCACAAATTCGTCAATCTGGATGAGCTGCTCTTGTGGCATCCGTTTAAAACCTGACTTACAAGGAGAAGTCCCAGAAGACGCACTGTGGATTGATGGTGTTTGCTTGACCCAGGGTAGCGATCTCCAAGATGATTGGGTACAGCAGATTGTCGGTGCTGCCCTCAGTGGCTAGGTGGTCATACAGTGACAATGAGATGACGGGGGTGTTGATGACTTGACCAACGGCACCCTCTGATGGCCTAATCAGAAGTAAGGAAATTGCTCAATATGATGAATTTAAAGTAAAACAAAATTGAATCATAAAGTATAGCTCCAGGGTGTGTGAGTAGAGCATAAAAAATGGCCAAAATTAGCTGAAATTGCAAACGCAAAGTATATACAGCATAGGGGCTACAGCCCGCTTAAAGCCCTGGGAAACTTTTGAAATGTGTGATGCATGGTGGTGTAACCACTAGTCATTTTTCTTGCAATTTATGCATATTTTCAATTTAATATTTTGCCTGAAATTTAACTTCCTGAAGATTAAATGAACTAGTATACCAATATTGTAAATATCAACGTTTGTAGAGTGAGTTTGCCCTTTTCCCAAATGATTCAACCACATTTTCAAATTTTCGATCCTTTGTTTCAAAGAATACCTATCGCATGTCAAGGCTCTTGGATTGTGTCACCTGCCCGTCTACGGTGTATTTCATCAATGTCCATTTCCGCGCATTTGTACCCTGAGGATCGGTCTTGTCAAAGATTGTATCCAAGTAAGAACTTCTTTGGACAATTATACACTTGTTTTGCATGGACATTTTCATGAGTGTATGTCCAAAAATTGTTTGTAATCTCGTATAAAACGATGCACATCGAGCGTGTAAAAACCACCTAATAATGCATGGCACAAGAACTTTGCCACCTGCCAGCTGTACATGGGAAGCTGTCTATCAGCGAAAGCAAACATTTACCAACCTTATTTCAAGCTGCAAATTTACAGTGAAATGTGTGCTACTGCGAGTTATAGTGGAGATAGTTATAGTCACCACTTCCACTGACGACGGCTGTAACAAGTCCCACAGACACATATATGAGTATTGACATTTCATTTGCTGCCAATCACAACACAATGACCAGGTGGTCCCAGGACACTGTTTAAACACAAGGCTTGCACTTCAAGCCCCGCCGAAAAATGCCCACGTAGCTTTGTATATGCTGTACATGTACACATGTACATGTTCATGTACATGTACATGCAATCACGGGCATAAAGGCACTCCAGTCCTGTCTTTTCCCATGCATTCGGTGTCGGGAAGAAAAAAACATGAAACCAGCACTTGCGCAAAGAAGGAAATGAGGAAAATCTGGCCTGTTGGTGGCAAAAAGCAGAAAATGAAATGGTACACTCAACTAAAAAAGTGGAAATTCGCTAAAAAGTAGAGATTTCACACCCCTATTTTTCTGAAGCCCCTGAGACTTCATTCAGCTCACATTCAGTGTCAGATAGAGTTAACATCATTTTGTGATGTACAGAACAAACACAAAATGGTGCAGTTGGAATGAAGCTTCATATTGAGGCAATGATGAGTGCATACTTTGAATGATGAAGATGTGATGAACATTTCGGCACACAGTTCTGTGCAGCGTAGTAAGAAGCAAACAGTTGCTAAAGCTTTCACAGACATTTTCAGAAAATCAGATTTGTTCAAATACACCCAGCCATATACCCAGACATCCAGCCATTCCAAAAAGTTAGATCAGTGTAACTGGCCGATAAAAAAAGAAAGGTGCATATTTGTTCTGAAATGCAGTGAAGCAAAGGCAATTTTAAGGACTACTGCATTTTCGTTCCTTTGCAGAGCTTGCAGAAAGCCCCTAAATTATGCCTCAAAGCTCAGAAAGGTCATAAAGTTTACAGAAATTTTCAAATTTTGGGCCCTCTGAAAAAATGTTTGCCCCCCCCCCAAAAAAAATCAGTCCTGGATCTGCCTTTACACTGTACTACGCTACAAATCTGATCCATCAGAAGTTAATTTGCAGTATTTACAACCAACATTTGCACTATGACTTGATTAATTCAGAGAACATTTCAATGTTTTGAACCTGAATGGTCAATTCAGGCCAAGGCAGGGCATAGTTCCATTGGAGACTTACTTGACGCTGGAATCTGATTGGTTAGGTAAGAGCTCTCCCACTGTGTTGTACTTGATATAGGACGCTAAAGCGACAATGCTTTCGATGGAAATCATGGAGGGGTCGTCCACTTGCGGTTTGGGTTGGATTACGCCCTCAGGAATGTGTATTCGTGTAGTATCCCGCTCAATTCCATCCTCCCACTGGTCAATCTCGTAATTGGGGATGACTATTGAGTTTCGGTCCTCCCGAACAATAACGTCATGGTGCATCACTGATAATATTCAAATGTTAAAAACAGGAATGGTACCTTTTTAGAAAAAAAGTGATGTATTCTATGCCAGCAGTGATCAGAAAGACATCGCTTGCAAGGAACTGAACAATACAGATCTGAACTGATTTTATCAGTTTTTATTAACCACTTCACGCTGAGGGAGCCTGAAATCGGACAAAGGAGCCAGGTCTTGTAACAAAAGACCACATTCTGAACAAAAGACCAAGCTGCTGGGACTTGAACATTACAAAGGATTACAATACAAAGGATTACAACCATGGACCAAAGCTCTCCAGTGCTGCAATGCTGAGCAACACAATACCGCTGCACACCAATCTGGCCCCCTTGAAAAAGATGCCAACATTGAACTGCTCTAGTTTCGAGACCAAAAGCAAATTACGCAACACCGAACAATCTGGGCTCTCTTCACAAGGTAGCAGGCCTGGCTGAAATACACGGGCATCAATAGATGTTGTGTGTCAGGTTAAAGTAGCCGCCAAACAGTCATTTGTGTGGGCATAAACATCCAGTAAATGAGGTAATAAATATTTGAAGAATTTTGAAAAACCATGAAAAATGCCCGTATTTGTGCACAGCCATTTTAATTAAACCCGGCGCGAAGTGGTTAAAGATGTGAAAACTTTTCTTAATTTCTGATATCAAAAGAAACCTCAAAGAAACATTTCATTTCAAACTGTAATGTGAAGGCAGTGTAGACAAAAACAGATTCGATTTGCCTTTCATCTGAGTGAAAAATGTCACTAATAATTACACCTAAATTTGCCAATCAAAGTGCTCTAGTCACATTGTATTACACACCCAAAGCTTGTTGGTTGCTATGCACAGTACATTTCATTCACCATTCTGTAACAATTGCTGAAATCAACTGACAAGCATTATTCCATCTTGAAACTAATTCTAGGCATGAGAGTTGTCTGTACATCAGATTCCATGCTACCAAGGAATTGTGCCTTACCAATGTTGGGAGCAACAATGAAGATCTCTGGAATGTGTGTGTAATCAGATGTGATGGCCGTTACGGCTGTCTTGGCTATGTTAGCACCAAAGGCCTCCAGGGCTGATATGACCTCTGGTACACCTTTTGAACTCCTCTGTATGATGGCCCAGTGGGCCTTGTTCACAGGGTCTAGCAGGCGGCTGGCTATCTCAACCACTTTCTACATATGGGGAGAAAGGCCCAAGAAAATGGAGACATTGATAAAAACCACTGCTACCAAGAATGTACAGTACCAATGGTTCAAGACTCATTCACTGACTCAGGACTCAAGGCATGAATGCAAATGCAAATTTGTTTCACTGTTGTTTCACTGTGAATTTACAAAACTTTTCCACTCGGATGAATCTGTTGCAAAATCTGATGTCAAACTTCCATTCCTGTTTGTCATTCACATCAAGTGTGAGCAGCTATTAATTAGACACGTAGACGAACTAGGCCAAAAAGACAACAAACAAATATTTTTCTATTTTTTTAATGGAGGAAAATTAATGAAATGGGCAAGAAGTACTCATTCTGACAGGTCTTCTCGTATCTTCTCATACATTTGTCTAATTGCAGTAGTCACTGCAAACCACGATTCACTACTATGAACCCTAGGCCATATGCTTTAGCGACTGCAGAAACAAGTTTGTCACACCAAATTGGTAACCCGGTAATGCTTGAGGTGGCACATATAGAACACAGAACCAGAAATGGTTACATCATCTAGAGAATGTAAAAGGCAGCAGATGATATAGTTTATAAATATCATTTACACTTTAACATTTGACATGTTTTGTACTCTGCTACTCTCACTCAACAGTATTACTCTAGAATAATAATAAAGTACTTATTTTAGTTTGCTACATGTAAAAACAAATTTGGGACTACAATTTAGGGT